TGTTGGAATTATCGTGCTTCCGTGTACATCAACTCAAATAGGCAGTAAATCTCCCGATGATAAATATATTCTATACTCTCTTGCCGAGAGTAGAAGTATTCTTGCGCAATATCAGTGACGCGTCTAGAATTTCGGAATGGGGAGGGACCGGGGCAGATGCGTAGAAGGAGAGGAGATCCTGGGAGAAGGATCTGCTCTACGTTGGATGGGGTCCAGGGCCCATACGTCTCCACTAAGTCTATGCCTCTAGAAAGTTCATACAAGATTTGTTGGGCTGGAAGGGATGGATAGTGACGAAATAGGGTCGGGGGTGATGGTGACAATCGCAGTAAGGGTGGTTAAACCCCCCCCCCCCCCTCCTGTAGCGTCCCCGTGCAATATACTAGCACATAGTACTCTTACATTTTCAAATGAGGAGATGAAGAGGCCTTCAACATTAGGTAAAATCAACATCTTGCAAATCAGGTGGCTCTTGCCCACAGTGGAAACTACTTTCTGAGGGCCGTGCTTCCAACCAGAATGCTGCAGCAGAGAGACTTACTTCAAGAGTATTCCTCAGTCAGTACTATCGATCATCATCGATACGCAACAACTGGGAAAATGGCTTTCAGAGCTTTCAGGATGCATCCAACATACTTAAGGTATTCATCATGAGCTCAAGCTACAATCTTAGATTGCGAAGTGCATTTTAACTGAAATATATGGCTTTCTGTCGATCCCTAGAATTGCACTATTTGGTATCCGACCTTCCCCTCATCTAGTTACGGCTCGTCAGGGTAAGTTTGGTCCGTGAAAGTGTTAAACCTCTTCTTGAAGATAGTCACGGAGAAGAACAGCCACTACATCGTCACTTAACGCAGTGGTTCTCAACCGGTGGGCCGCGGAGGTACTGTGGGTGGGCCGTGGCAAGTATCCACAAATCTAAAAATAGGAATTAACAGGTAGAGGAACAATAGTTATATGGCTTTTAAGTCTGCAGTGGGCCGCGGATCACCTTGCAATTGTTAAGATGGGCCGCAGGATCGAAAAGGTGGAGAACCACTGACTTGATGTATTCCACTCTTCAAGTAAAGAAGCCATTCCGCTACTCGGGTCTCGTTTAGGGTTTAGGCAACCTGTACCGGTTTCCTCTCGTTTTGTTGTTAGCATCGAGTTGGAAGAATCTACCTCGTTCCACGTTATCTATTCCTTTAATGATCTTAAAAGCTTGAATGAGCTCTGCCATCGCTAGTCTAATTTCGAGGGAGAGGTGCCCAAATGTTTCTAAATGCTTCTCTATGAAACAGTGGCGGCTCGTGATATTTAGCGCTAGTGGCTCGTCTATGGAGAGGGGGTAGGCAGTGCCCTCCCCTGTCTACCCCCTCTCCCCCCCCTCTCCTCGATCCTCTCGAGAGCCTTTAGATCACTTTTTTTTCAGGACTCCAGAGTTTAACACAATGCTCTTAACTGGCTCTCGCTCCGTGCTCTCCGATCGAGAAACATATTTTCGTATCGTCGGTAAGTTAGCTGATTTCACTTGCCTTGATCAAAGCAGTTGATGTAAACTACGAACAGAAACGGTTCCATGATTTTTAAAACTTTATTTTAGCTTTTTCATGGGAATGCTTTCTACGGAATAATCATTTAAATTTCGTATTGGGGTCAATAAAATATGAATAACGAATGGGGTAGTGCCATAGAAATGGCTGGGAGAAAAGCTGGCTGGCCCAGGCTTCCTCGCTCCTTCCTTCCGAAGTGAGTCGGAGTATGCGCTGTTCCTACCTAGGCTAGCCTCTCCATGGCCTAACCTGCTTTACTCCACCCGAAGAGGGACGGCAGGATTGAGGGGGAGAGGGCAGTCTCACTGCGAAGCGAGTGGACGGAGTCTTAGGCCGAGAGATGAGGCTTGAGTGCCATGTTGCGAAATATGTGCAACATTGCCAGATGTTATTCTTAGCCACAATTCTTCAAACTTGATCTTGACGAGACAAAGTCGGTCAATACTAGTTTTTCCTCCTTCACCTATCTATCAGCATGAATTAAGGCTCCGCGACCCGCGCTTGTATCTCGTTACTTCAGATCGTCTCCTACCATATCTTCTCTCCTGCACTCGGACTCTCCTCAGGCGGTGACTTGTATTCGTGAAGCTTGTGTTATATTTCTTTGTTCTTCTCCTTATCACATCACCTCGTCAAGAACATTATGTCATCTGTACGCATGACGGTTAATCATAGTATATAGAAATACTAGCAGGAGGGCCCACGAATATCGTGGACAATCTAAACAGCTAGCACCTTTGGATCGGGAATTCAGCTAACCTATGCTACATCATCTGGTGCTAAACCTGAGGATCCACGTATGCAAAGGAATCCGTTTCGAAGGATCCCTTGTCCCTTTGCTTCTCCTTATCACATCACCTCGTCAAGAACATTATGCGACAACTGAATCTTCATGAAAACAGGGAAGAGGAAACTAAGAAGGTTCTTGAAAAATCCTGTGAAGATGGTCTAGAAAAAATGTATTTATTTGACCATGATTGATGGAGAATAGAATCAGCATTGACATTAACAAAGCCTGCTCAAGTGCGCATATTTTGGGGTGCAAAAACTAAAACTAAATAAATGAATTATTGGGGAAAATTGATGAAAAGGCCGGTGCAGGAATCTTATTTGCAATATGGACCTTCGAATTTGCATGCATCTATTGCATGGATTAATTTGCATGAATAGTCTATATTTTCTGTTTTATTGAGTTACTGTCAGAAGGCTCAGCACAAGAAGCTGTTCCACTGTTCACAGGAGTGTTCGTTAAGACACCAGTAGTATACTTTTCAATCAAGATGTATGGGATATAACACATTCATTTAAACATAACATGACTTTAATGGTGTTTAAAGAGCGATTAAACCTGAATCCTCGCGTATAATCCTTTTTTTTTACTTTTGGCCAGAAAGCGTCTGTTTGACAGTGCGCTAGGAAGTTTCTCCAGTATGCCCACAAATTTCCCTCTGTCCTTCGATCATTGGAAGTAACTTTCGGTTGATTCTTTGACATGGAGCGATAGCGGAACAAATTGTCTGTGGTCTACACTAACGAACATTAAGGGAGAGGAAAGAGCGGGGAGGGGAAGGGGGCGGGGGGCAAGAAGGGCTGATGGGATTCCCCGGCCCTCCCCCTTCTCCGACTAAGCCGTTGGCCTAACCTACAGTAAGATCCACGAGCCGCCACTGCCTTCAAGTCTTCCTCACAACGACGCAATTCATTCAATAACGGGAAAAGCATAACATTTCACCAAAATGTATTTCACAACTTGAACAGTAACTTACGCTCACTATCGATTCGATGAGAAATTCCTGTAGTGTGCCAGAACCACTTAGTGCTCGGAGCCTTCACGAGAACCTCTTGCTCTATCCACCAATCGGACTATCGGAGTCCCCATTCACAGCCCTACTCATTCCGAATTGACCCTCGAGAGCATGGTTTTCAAGTGCGAACGCGACAGCCACCGAATAGGAATAAGAGCGATAACTTGTACTCGGGGCACAAAAGAGGTACTGAAAATGCGACTGATTTCGCCCACACATTATCGCTTTTGCTCCATTCAGGAAAGCTCAGCGAAGGAAATGCATGTGAAAGCTTGTTTACATTGCACGAGCCTTGCTCAATTTAAAAAAAATTATATTCGGGGTGTCCGGGAATAAAGGTGCAAATATAATTTCACATAACTTTATTATTAAGCACATCAGAAACACTAGGAAAAGTGTGGTACATTCAGCAACTCTCCAAGTTTGATAAATATCCGCATGACTCCGTCGTTTGCAAACAAAAGACGTAGGGGAGCGGCACCAGTTCGTGAACAGGGAGCCAGTTAGCGAACTGGTGCCGCTCCCCTATTCGTCGATCGAATTCGATAATAGCACTTTGAAGGTGTTGTGGAATGCCTTAAATAACATCTGTGATTCTCAGACTGAGTTTAACTGACATTAGAAGGTTTGTTATGGTACACAGTGGTCTTAACACAGCCTCACAAATACATGTAAAGGTCCATGTGCGTAAGCTTTTATGTCCATGTCTATTCGAGAGCGCAAAATGCAAATCTATAATTTTTCTCTTCTGATTTTGTATCGGAGATATATGTGAATATGTGAATAGAGGAAGTAGTCAATTCTACCATGCATAAAAATGAAAAGGGGTATTCTTTTACTCCGCCTTACTCCAAGTCTCGTCCAATATGATTAGAAAGAAAAAAATTTTGAAGAACTAGGGAAGTCCATTACAGCATACAGGTGATCAGGGAATGGACCAACTGTGGGGAGGGGGGGGGAGGGGGGGGGAGGTGAAGGACCGACCCGTGACAGTATTTTAATGAAAAATCCCTATCATTGTCCAGTGACCCCAAGTTCCTGGTACTTCCTTCCCCTCTTCAATCCAGTTTTTTATTGCTCGTTCAAGCATCCACGGTACGTAGAATTCTTTACTCAAAGGATTCTTTAACGTAGTGGAAGTGAGAGATGGTAGGGAAGGGGGGAGAGAAAGAGAGAGAGAGAGACCTACAGAAGACCAAACATCTGGAAAAGACGGGAGACGGAGTGAGAGGAATTGGCAAAGCCCCAAGTTCCCTTTGCTGCTTTCCCTTCATTTTCCTGACCTTTCCTTTCTTTCTCTCCGCATCATGAAAAAAAGGGAAAAGGCCGAGGTTTGGCTTGATCGATACGAAGAATCTCATCGCCCTCGCTCTTCTCAGACTCCGTCTGTAAAAGGAACCTCATCCCGTTCCACAATTTATGGGCTGCTGCCTCATGAGGGACCTCTATTTTCCCCTATCGTCGTCTTCCAGTCCTTCTCCTTTCTTCCTTTTCTCCTCCATTTTTCAATCTTCCTTCCCGCTCTCGTCCGTTCCCCTTGTATTCCTTGAGTAGAGAGGATGATGACGTGGCAGTGCGGTATTGGTGGAAGGAGGAGCTGCGGAATCGATTCATGAGACGGAGTGAATTCATTCTTGGGCCTCAGTTGCAGTCTCAGTCTGTCTCCAGACGTGACAGGAAGTGCCATGTGAATGTGAAGGCGAAGGATGGACCTCGAGCATGAGTGTCTTGGATAATCCCCTTCCTTCGTGTTGTTGTACGTCGGAATGGATCCAAGGATCTCGTACTCATTCGAGTCGTCTCGTCCAGGAGCGTTCCATTCCGATTCAGCAGAGGAGCATCTACGACGACGAGGATGAGTGTCTCAAGGATCGGAAATGGTGGTGTTTTCTCCTCTCCAGCATTGTTACCTTTCTGGCTGGGATCTTGTTGGTACTGCTCGGACGCCTGTCCAGGGTCCTTTTCTGTCGAAAGGGCAAGAGTGGACCCTACACCCAAACGAAAAAGGGACCCGGGTCGAAACAAGGACCTCAGGGGACTCATCAAAATGGACATGGCGTGGGGAATAATCAAAGGGAGGAATTCGAAGGCACTCTCATGAACGAAGCTAAAGACTGGGCCTTGGGACTCATCTCGGGACAGTCTACCACCGGACGAATCCTCGTACGTCGCATCCTATTCAATATTAGATAGCCAGAGGATTATCACGCCTCTGATAAAGGGATGCAGGACTTCCTAGAGTAACGATCGCTTATGAAGCATATAACATCTGCGATTCAATTCACTAGCCTTTTCAAATTGTGGAAGAGCATTTCGCGAGGCATGCTGGAACCAACGAACATTCCGGAGAAGCAAATTTTAACTGGTCTCTGTGCGCTCATATCGTCGACGATCTGACAAAAGGGGGAAAATACAATTTTGAAAGTTTGTGGAATAATAAGAATTCGCCATTTTTCCAGACAAAAGAATTATAATTGAATAATGTTTGCATTTCCACTCTACGGCCTGGCGCAAGTGGAACTTTCCACAGTTCTCGTTCAACCGATCAAAAAAGGGCGAATTCTTGACCAGAAAATTTAGAAAATTTAATGTGTCGGGTCATCGACAATTTGACAATTATGATCCGGGTTCTTTTGACACGAGATCGCCAACTCGTAGACATCAAAATCAAATGAAAAATTTTGCTTTTACCTCACTTCAGTTTTGCTTCTTCCTCTTCATTCAAAAATCATCGAGATAATGATAACAGTGCCGGTGGCATGTTTTCAGATTTCTGCATATTTTCTGTATTTTCAGAACAGCAGTCAATGTCCAGGAATTGTCTGCAGTTCTGAAATCCCCAGAAATTCTCTTTGTATCATGGGGAAGATAGTTAACATGAAAATTTCAAAATGACCGGCCCTGGAAAGTATGCAATAGCTGCAGTTCACGACAGAAACACGAGGAAAACATTTATTTCGAGTTTTCTAATTATACAGCGAACATTCATGAAGGTGTATCATATTTATAGACGTACTTTTTCGTGTTAGACTCTATCCACTGCATTTAGAATCACCTGTTTTGTATTTGTCATGATTATGATGAGCAGGGAACAAGCTTTTCAGAGCCCACTTTAGTAGCGAGCTTGCCTTAAGTGGAGTGCCACGAATGGTTCTTATGAAATAACAGGCGATACCACAAAAGAAGGAAGCGGGAAAATAGAAGGATGCCAAGAGTCCGGCTACGTGGGATCAATGGTAGTCGGGGCTTAAGGCCGCCTCATACGATCCAATTTTCCATCATGCAGGAGATCGATTGCAGGATGCTCATCCGATCGGGCACCCACACACGGTCCGACGATGATCTGACGGTTCTGACCAGGCAGGCATTGAGAATCAATCAGAAATTATGAAAGTTCTCTATCATAGCTACCTGCAGTTATGGATGAGGAAGATAAAGAAAATACTTTCTCGATCATCTCTTTTCCTCGTTCGTCTCCAGAGAGAAACGTGCAGGGCATTGAACTGGCAAAGACTTACATCGCTTTTCAATCGAGTTTACCAGTTTTTTCACTTGATTTCGACAGGTTTTTAGCCGACTGCAAAATCATTCGGTAAGAGGGAACGATTAGGATGGGCTTAACCTGCGTCGGAGAGGTCGAAGGCATTGAAGTAATGATGAACCTAGTTGAAAATAACATTACAGTGAATAAATCGATGCGCAAGTTTCTCGAAACTGGCTGCATGTAAGTATTATAATTAATGCGGGAAAATATTGCGAGATTAATTTTGAATACCTTCTCGTATTTGTAAAAGTAAGGGGAGCTACGAGCCTCCCTTAGCAGGCTACTACGAGTACCTCTCACTATATCTAGCGGCATTCTTTCTTCAGATTTGTTTCCTTGCATTTGATTTCTGATTAGTTTCTAATAATCTTTTTACCCATCTATATGGGTCGCCCCCTTGTTGGTTACTGTCATATTGAACCTACTGTCATAGAAAGATGCGTGACCTGCTGCACGTAATGAGTCTGAAGGGGCTAAAGTCCCCAGTCCTCTTCCAACTTTTCATTGCTTCAGAATAATCTTACATCGTCTTGTGTTGGTCGAACGAATATGTATTAAATGTCAAGACTATTGAAAGCATGTTAGGCTGTACACGGGCCAAGTTTCGTGCAAACAACTCTAGTATGGTGGAGAATTCGGCCCGTATTCCCGTCCCTCCCTTATTAAGAGTTAAGGATCTTCCTAAAGATGGAATTCACGTTTGTCTCTAAGAGACAAACGTGAATTCTCTTTAAAAAAAACTCTTAAAAAAACCTTAATGGACTTTCAGACGTCCCCAACAGGTACGAAAGGGTGATTAGAAACTCACTCAGCTCACTTTGAGTTGCAAAAATCTTCGTCGTTACCGAAGAACGTCATTTCTACTTTAATGTATCTTATTCCATGTGTAATTTTCTTTGCTTCTACTTGAACGTGTCGAAGCTTAAAGAAAACTCTTTATTAGTTTACGAGTTGTTAATTGGAAAAAGTGCTAGGAAAACCATCTGCAAGAAAATATCTGTCGAAGAGGAGTTCTAATGCAAAAGATGTTGTTGGTTGTAGCCTTGACTATATGCAAGGACAGCATTAAGGTAATTTGTCCACTCAAAGAATTGCATTTACCCCTGTCCATCTTCAATATCCAACTTCTTTTTTGCTTCAATGAACGCCTCAAATTGGATCACTCCTGAGACCAGTGAATTTTTTTTTTCATTAACTAGGGTATTCAAGTAACCGAAACTTATACCTTTCAGCGTTTTATTCTGGTGATTTGTTTGGAGTTATGTGAGAGTGGTCAAATTTGGGTCCCTTTAGGCCACAGGTTATACCGTTTACTTTTTACCGGCAATTTTGCTCGGAACATGTAAAATTTGGATCAGAGGCACGATTCCTAGCGTTGCGAGTTATTTGGACATGGGGTGCCCAAATAACTCACCGAGTATTAATTCAAAAGAAATGGGAACGGACGAGCAGGAAGTATCATGACTAGAAATTTTTTTACCTCACAACGTAATCAAGGAAATATATAAGGCTGACAGGTGAATAGCATCACCAACTATCGGCCACCATTTGCTTCACTCTATGTCAGTGGTTCCCAGACTCCCTCGAATCGCGGCCCACTAGCCAACTTCCGAAGAGTTTCGCGACCTTTCAAAACGATCACCTTTATATGAAATTATAATCAGTGCTCGAAATGTGATTTTACCTTGCGGGGGAAAGTGGGGATAGTTCCTCTTTCGTAATGTGCTTCCCCTCAAAGGTGCTGGGTGAGGGAATGACAGAGGAATGGGGTTGTTGGATGAAAGGATGACCGTATGCTGCCGGGAGAAGTCACTTGCTTTCAGTCAATTTCGTGCCTCCCGCGCTCATGCCAATCCTACGAAACTCTTCTTTTATAAATCTACATACTTCGATTTCCGTATGAAAATTATGTGAAACTGGCGGCTGTTTTATTCTGTGCTTCTTTCATTTCGATCTTCCGAGACATGCGCCAGGGATCGTCGATTCGAGTCGACCACTTTCTGATATGAGTACATTCCGGTAATTTTTTTCTCAAAGGATTCTCAAAGGAAAGGATTTCTAGCGACTCATCTTGAAGCCTCTCGCGACCCACAGTTTTTGAACCGCTGCTTTATGTGAATATGTGTGAGCTTTGGAATTTACTAAGCATAACATTTGTCACTGGATTAAATATTCCGAAACTAAATCGATGTTTATCACGTTAGTCAATTGCTTTAAACAATTTGAAACGTATAGCAGGAAATTTCCTTCAAATCCTAGCTTCGTTGTGATGTACGTTGATATTTGAGCGATTGCACGAGTCCCATTACTTTTCGAAGAAAGGAGGCTAGCTGAAGAGAGAGAGTTCCCAGTAAGAATTGCATCTCAGGGATGCCATTCTACTCTTGGATGCTGCCAGCAAAAGTACCTTTTCCACTATTTAAACTCTCGAGCGAATCTATTCGCAGCCGATGAGTCTCTTCACGGGCGATTCTTACCTCCCAAAGTCTTGGTATTTGCTTGCATGGATCACGCAATACTTATTCTGTTTGTTCGAAGTTGTTTTGACTCTCTAGGTTCGTCATATACATATCTTTAAGTACTCGGAAATCATGCTAGCTTGCATTCATTATCTTATATGCATTCTAAAGTTTTTAAAATGCTTTATGGACTGAATGTAGACGCTTACCCTCACTTATTTAGGTGTGTTCAGTGCGTCATTGGATATACTTCCTAGCAATGATGGTGTATTCACATAATAACTGAGTAAGTGAAACCTCCAAAGGCATTTGCAAAGGCGATACAAAATCCATCAGTACCATACTTGTCGAAATCGGTTCGGTAATCTTTGCTCGAATCAGAGGGGGACCTTTTCGATCATCAAAGTGTAACCTCTATTCAGTACTTTCTTTACTTAAGTACGCAATATCTCCAAAACTACACCAGCGTCCGGAGGCAAGTCCATCTATAACTTACCTCATTTTTCGGAATCCAATAGAAAAGTTTTTGTTGAGGGTCGATCAGTGTGAAAATAAGAAGCGTTCAACTCGATACTAACATCAGTCGGTGTGTCCTTAAGACCCTCCGAAAACAAAGGTTATTTACTCTTTCGCCCCAATGGAATCTCGCCCCTGCATTCCGATTGACAAGGATCAAAAGATGTGATTTAATCTTTGACCCATACACGGTTGGAGCGAAAGTGCACAGGGGCGAATTCCCACGCGTGATTTTCATGGCTGATATCCATGTCTACCTCAACCCTTAAAGAAAAGGCGGGGGGGGGGGGGGGGGGGACAAGGTTAACTCCCAGTTTCACTATCCCTCCCTGCGCAAGATAGATGCCGACAATGAGTTGGAGTTGATAGCAACTGCAAGGAGCGGAAGGAAGCTACCCAGGCAAAAAATTTTCATCGGACCATCGATGGCTTTTCGTCGACGCCTCTATAGGCCGTAGTTGGGCCATCACTGGCATATGGTTTCCTTACGGTTGGTTTAAGCCGGCTTATGGTAGGGCATGTCCTGTTGGCCCATCATTGGGTCAACTTTGGCTCATTGTTGGGGAACCGCACATGTCCCAACCATAAGCCGACTTTTCACAATGGTGAAAAGATGCAGGAAAAAACCGACACGAGGCGCATCTGTAGCATTATGCATCTTGGAGAAATTAGAATGCATCCTTTGGCCCCCTCCTGTTCCTTCATCCGGGAGAGATAAAGGATCGATACCTTGCACAAGTACCTTACATAGGTACACTCGAGGTATCACCACGAGCTGAGCAGATCCCAAGCAGAAAGAAGAAAGAAGAAAAGAAAACTTTTATATTCTTGAACCATGGGGTAAGACTTACAGTTTATATGAACGCAAAGCCATTCTCAGTATCCATCTTACATCTTACACAGGGTGGGATAGTGAAACTGGGTGGGCCCCTGTTTTAAGGGCTGAGGCAGACATGGTTATCAGTCATGAAAATCATGTGCGGAAAGTCGCCCCTGTGCATTCTCGAAATGAGATAAATGGAAAATATGTAGCAACTATCTGATTGGAAAGAAAGTTCTCGGAATTTCATGAACAAACATGGCAAGCGCAATTCATGTCCTTTTTCTCGGGTCGATTTGGGGAATCAAATGCCAACTTGAATTGTCTTCTCTATCGTCATGTTTCTTTGTCGGTAGATTTAAATGGGAGATGCACCCAAGTTGTCCACATAGGGATATGAAATTGGCCAACTTGGTCTTCCCTTTTGGTGAAGCGAGAATATTATCCGGAAAAATTGGACCAGAAACCTGCACTGGTTGGATTTGGGGAATCAGAGCATGAAAGCATTGGCCCTAGTGCGGCCTTTCGCTTTAGTGTCTTCCACTTTCGCTCCCATGGATTTTCGTCCCCGAGACTTAATTGATAGGTATCTAATTGGAAAGAAAGTTCTCGGAATTTCTTGAATATCCAGTACAATTTTTTTCCAGAGCATGCTAGAATGTTCTGCGTGTGTTTATAAGTAGGTCGTGTCCTTCGGCATACAACCGTATATTATTACAGCCCTGGTGCTCTCCAGCCATGAACCAGCCCTACCCTCTTACTAAGGAGCAAGTTCGCCTGCTTCTTCTTTATGACTTC